ATTTTTAATTTTATTTGGGGATATGTACTAGAACAAACTGGTTTGTGCGAGGCTGGGTACGAGATTCTGGGCCTGCTCTTGCTGTGGGCTGAGTGACCTAGAGGGTTTGCTCATACCTTTTGTTACAGGAGAAATACGTTAAGGACAAACTGCCTTTTAGCAAGATTGCCTGCTTTTATAAGTCTTCTAATTAAGAAACTACTGATAAACTTCCAAGAAGTCTTGGGCTCAGAGGAACATATTTTGAAAACCACTATTCCAGATTACGTTAGTACTGCATTAAATATAATTGATAAGCCTTATTTGATATAAGACCAGATCTGCTGATAGAATGTTAAGAATATCAACTGTCATTTAAATCATTAAACCAAAGAGCCTCTCATCAGATTCTTTTCTGTATTGTTATTTATTGCTATTATTTATGCTCCTGTTTTGCAATCTGTGTTTTTGTTGTTTTATTAATTTAATATAATAATAAGGGACACTGGACTGAAATGCATAACTATTTTATATTATAAAATGATCATAGGGTTTGGGCATTGAGTTCAATCCCTGTCTACTGCAGGGGTGCAAATAAATGTCACATCCAAACCAAGGGGAAACTTCCACCTCTTTGATCAGTTGGTTCAATGGGCAAACTACACTTGTGTATAGGATTTTTTTTTTTTCTAATTCTAATTCTACAATTAGAATCTGTCTTCCTTTAACTTACATCCATTACTCCATATCCTGCAATCTAGAATGGGAGAGAACAGGTCTGGACCTTCTTCCATGTAACCTCTGTTTAGATTCTTAATGGTGCAATTTTAGCCATACCCAGTATTTATTTCTCAAGGCTAAATATTCCCAGAGAACCAGTTTGGTGTAGTGGTGAAGACATCAGCCTAGAAACCAGGAGACCGTGACTTCTAGTCCCACTTTGGGCACAAAGCCATCTGGGTGACCTTGGGCCAGTCACTCTCAGCAATGGCAAACCACTTCTGAAAAATCTTGCCAAGAAAACTGCAGGGACTTGTCCAGGCAGTCTCCAAGTGTGTGTGTGTGTGTGTGGGGGGGGAACAATTATTTCAATCTGTCTGAATAGGATGTAGTTTCTAATTTCTGGATTGTCCTCACTGCCTTTCTCTGAACCTGTTCCAGTTTGTTTCAACCCTTTTAAAGGGCAGGGGTACACTCAAAACTGGATACCATTCTTGAAATGGGGGCTGCCAGATGTGGAATAAAGTGGAAGTTCTACTTCCTGAGATTTGGAAACTATACCTTTGTTGATGTAGCCTAAAATTGCACTTAATGTTTCTGCAGCCACATGCTACTGACTCATGTTCGGTTTGTAATGAATAGAATTTTTTTTTCATAAACATTGTTGCTAAACCATGTTTTTCCTAGTCTATATGGGGCACTTGATACTTGTTCCCTAACAGACCTTTGCATTTGCTCTCTTCAGTTGCCATATGTTATTTTAGCCTGTTTTTAAACATATCAAAATCATTTTAAATTTTTATTTCAATCTTCTAGGGCAGGGGTTCTCAAATGCTGTGATCCTGCATGAGGAATGAATTAGCATAATCTACTCCATGAATAAAACTAATGATTTCATTTGGGTTAGGATTGGGCAAGAAATAAAAATACTACTTACTTAAAAAAATTAAATGTATATATCAGAACAATGCTAGAACCTCACAACTTTATAAAATAAATCTGTTTCATTGGAAATTTAAAATCATATTTTTTAATGGGCAGGATAAATTTGCTTATTTTTGTAGCCAGAAACCAAGCAATGTTTGTTTAGATATTATTACTGTATTTTCAAGTAAAACCACACCTTTTAATATTATTATTAATTTATGAGAGAAAATACAAATATAGGCAAAACCTTAATTCCTGTGCTGATTTTAGATTGGTATGTGGATAAGTGATCAGGATGATTATTGATTTTGTTGTTACTTTGCCTCACTTCTTTATTTTAGATGTTATTTTTACTCAAGAAAGTCCAAAAAAAGAATAGAAATTGATTTTTTTTTTTTTTGGCCTGGGCTATTATGGGCACGAGAAAGAATTTTGCTTCTTGCCTTAAATCAGCTTTTCTTAAACTGCTGTTAAAATACTGCAGCTTGCAAACCATTGACAACCTTTACATTGGGTTGGGCACTCTTTCCCCACAGAGTTGCACTGACATAAAGTCACAGCCTGATCATCTGTTTCCCTTCCAGTTTGGTGCTTGTAAATCTCTCCCCCCACTCTTGCAACTCCCTGTTCCCTGTAGTCTCACAGCTCCCCCTCTTCCTCATTCATAATTCCAACTGAAGAATGAAGGTTAAATTTGATGGTTAATGCTCAAGGCATGATCTTTCTTCCTTTGAAAGTCAAATGAAGTGTTTTGTTTTGTTTTTTTAAAAAGTGAAACCACAAACAAAACAAAAGAAAAAACCTCAGGCTTCATAAAGCCTCTGGAAATATAGTGTTGCTTTGCGTTTAGCATAGATTTGCATTGAAATGGCAAGCCTGCTCACGAGGACCTGCTAAGAAGGCACTCTCTCACGACCCTCCCAATCCATGGTCTTGCAGCTCCCCAGGGGCTATGACTAATACTTTGAAACGCTGTTGTAGGACTTTGTATCATCTGCAAATTTGATAAGCGTTGCATCCAAGTGACCAACAGAAATCATTAAAGCACAGGACTGAAACTTGTCACACTCCACGCAGACCTGAGTTCAGTTTGATGAGTTCAGCTTGATGCAGAACTGTTGATGAGCACTGTTAGGGCATGATTGTTGACTGACCTATATATCCACTTACTTGTCATGGCTATACTTAACTAGTTGCTAATGAGAATGGCATGGGGTACTTTACCTACTGCATTATTAAAATCTAAATATATTACATATACAGCATTCCTATAATCTACTAATGAAAAATAAGATATGGTTAATATGGCAAGAGCAGTTCTTGATAAATCCCATGTGCTTACCACATTGTTTTCAAGGTACACACAGATTGATTGTCTGCTCTGCAGATGTTTACAAACCATTTCATAAAAACACACTGTGGTAAAAGAAAAATTAAGGAAATTTACTTAGGCTTTTCCTCCTCCAAGATGTATCTTTGTTTTTAGGGGATCTTTTATTTAATTTTAAGGCGGAATGTAAAGTGGAGGGAGAGGAGGCTTTTTATTCAGATCTTTTAAGGAACTATTAGATAAATTAAAGGACTATAATATAACGTTTTGCTTCAAAAAAGAGTGAATAGGAATATTTTTGGAGAAAAGAAAGGAAAAAAGTCCAGACTGAAAACAGTCATGTTATCGGGAAAGTTATGTATATCCAATCAGGACCAAAATAGGAATATTTCTATGTATGCAAATTCTGGACTTTGACAAATGGTTTGGGACTGAAGCCAGTCTTAGAGACTGGAAACTTTTTTGGACAACTCTGGTCTTCAAAGTTATAATCAGCTCAGATTAAGAAATACTTGCTAATGTTAGTATGCTATATCTCATGTCTCAGAACAATAGAACTGGAATTAGGTCTTGTTTATAAAACTAATAGAGGAGTAAAACATCAGATCCTATGAGGTATGGGTATATATTTTGGGGGCTGGCAGCATGGCACATGCTCCCCAAGGTTCCTTAAGAGGGGCCAGGCCCACCAGGCCGATCTCCTGTTCTAGACTGGGCTGTCACAACAATTAGTGTTATCAGATTCCTGCAAGAACCAATTCTCTGTGCAGGAAGACTAAAAATGACTGAAACACCATTTCCATTTTTTTATATTTGCACCTGCATATGGAAGTCACCGCTTACATGACTGCAGCCTGCCCCTTTGCTTACCCAAGCACATTGACGTGTTTATGCCCGTGCTACAAGACTTCAGTGTTATACACTTTGTATAAGAAGATATCTACAACCAGTGCTATGGCAGGAAAAAATGGTTTTACTGTTATCCTTGATGGAGGTTACCATGTGCTCCTGTATGGAAAGGAATTGGGATAGAGCTGCAATGGAAAAACTCACTAATACTCACTTAATATTATTAAGAAAATGGAAAAATGGGGCAGCTTTGCTGAATTATGGCATTTATTCCATTTACAAATTTACCTTACAAATTTGGGGCAAATCATTGTAATTTCTGGAAAAACATTTCCTAACAAAGAAAACCCCTACATTCTGTTGTTTTGTCTTCATAGCGCTCTAAATCCTAATAAAACAAAATATGACTATACTATTCCATTGAAATTGAGAGAAAAATCCATTTGCCGATAGGAATGTTTCCTTTTTTTTTTTTCCTCTGGTTAATCTGGATTTAGAATTTAGCATGTAGTGTGAACACAGTCACTGTGAAATTTTGTTGTGCAAGTTTACTTCTTACTTACATTACTACTATCATCATCATCATCATCATCATCCCTTGTATTCAGAAGTAGTCTTATAGAAGGAGTCTACGCTTATTAAGTAATTCTGGATTCAGCCTAGTGATAATGCTGCTGCTACCATGGGTATAACTCTCTCTCCTAATAATAGTAATGTTTCATAGGGTGGAGATAGTAAGATTTCATCTCAGTGGATCAGCATTTCAAAGGTCTGAATGTTCCCCATGTGCCCTTGCCTTTTAAACCTTCGGGGGCCCCTCTGCAGGTGTCTTGCCATTATACTCAAAATGGGATGGAAAGTTGGGTGGGACAAGATCTCCCTCTGCGTTTCATAAACGACCAGGTCAAGCTTGTTCATTAACAAGAGGAAGTGTATAATCAAGATGTTAATTCTGTGAGCCTTTGTGAATCTGAGAATTGCAAGATTTGGATGTGTGTTCTGTTTTGCTCCAGCTCTGCTGACCACAGTAGTGAAACAGAGATATGAGAATAAGAGAGAAGCAGAAGAAAAAAAAAAATTACCACACAGTAAATCCTGAACGGTTGTGGGCAAGTGCACGCTCTTCTTCAATTCCTTTTAAAAATCGCTTTTAAGTACTTTATTTTAATTTTCCTGTTTGCTTTTCCCAATCTAGAAAGTGCAGAGAGAAGGCACATCAGACCTGAAATGGGGACTGAGAGGGCCCTTGTCCTGGACCGCTTAGCAAGCAACGTTGCCAAACGAAAAAGTTCCATGCCACAGAAATTTATTGGTAAGGATTTGTTTTAAATGGACTCTCTTCTGGGTGTAGCCATTAAAAGGGATGGAAATATGACGTGATTCTTCTGTTTGAATGAATTCAGAAACTTGCATTTGTTAGACAATAATAATGTATCAAATAAGGAAGAGCCGTCACTATATTTCCTTCTTTTCAATGACACGGATGGACTTATGTGTATCCTTGGGTTATGCAGACCAGCCCCTGAAATATACAGTACAGAAGTTTCTGGATGAGGGATGACTCTTTCCAGCCTTCAGGAGAGCATTAGATTGAGAATTGTCACTGATTTCAAAGTATGTCAGCCAAATCAAGACAGCTGCAATACAAAAGGTGTATAAACAGCAGATTATGTTACCAAGATACATGCAGATAACTCAAGGCAAATACTTCTATCTCCTTCATCTTGTATTGGGAGGCATTCTTTCTTCCTCCATGAAACAGAATTTATAATACATATTCTTTAGCAAAATTGGTTTTAGCTGACTGCCTTTAATTGATTAATTTCAAATATTTGTGTATTTTCAAAATCTCAGTAATAAGTCAGTCCTTTTTGAAACATTGAAGAAGCTGCTGCAAGGGTAGAACATCTCATTCCTTATCACAACCAGAGAGCAAGATCAAATAGTGTTAAAAATAATGTTAGTGCAGAGACATTCTGTTTGTTGATTAAAAATAATCCTCTACTATTTACTAATTAGACCAACTGAACATTGAATCAATAGTGGATTTTTTTGTAAATATGTATGATTGGTAGTCCACATCAGTTGTTTGTAGGATGAAAAGTTTAATCCATTTCAGTGTACGTACAATCCTGTGATATAAAGCACTTTCTTTTAATTCCTATATTCTCATCATGCACTATTGTGATAGCAAGTATTATGGAGAACAGTTTATTAAACCAGAGGGTCAATCTACAGTGTTAATCGTCATAGCAAATATCTTTCCCAGTTTTCCCATAAACAAGTGCCATTGTTAGTATTAATATTGGCTTTAAAAATTATGTTTATTTTAATGCAGTATTATATTTTAGATATCTCATCATTCTACTAGGATAATTTTAATGAAGGTTTGCTTTGCTGAATTATAATTTACATAATATATTGTAAAAGAGGAAAATAAGGCAAAAGAAAAAAATAGCTAAAGAAATCATAGATTTTCTTCTGCTTTTTATTTACTAAGATTTATAATATTTACTAAGATTTTTATATTACCAAATATGGAATAGATTGAAAAAACAATTGATCAATACAAACCACACTCTGAGAAAGAAAAAATATTTTTAATTGTGCAGACCATTTGAAATCTAAGAGGTTTCTCAAACTGGAAACTTTAGGTGGTGACTTGACCGCCAGTTACTGGCAAACACCTCAACTTTCTACCCAGCCTGCTGAATTTTTAACAGGTGCCTGACTATTAAGTGATTTCATGGATTTCAGTACAACAGCTGTTAAAGGGTTTAGCCATTTGTTTATCTGGTTTTTGGTAGCAATTCCATTTAAATCTTGAAGATTAATAACATCTATTGAATCACTGGGATACATCCTCCAGAGTTTGATCTAAATGGCACTATATAAATCTTTAAGCACTAGTACAGGCTAAATTTGTCTATTTCTAACCTTTGTCTTTGTGTATCACTTTTTTTTAAAATAAGTATTTCAATTCAGAATAGAAGGAAACTTTGACATTTTCTTCAGATACAAAAATGCCCAAGCCAGCACGAACATCCTTTTCTTCCCTGCTCCCCACACCCAAATTAAACAGACACCCACCACAATTGTATAAGCAGATCTACAATACTGGGTATTTATCTAATCTTGACTGAAGATCTCATGACTAACTATCATTCCTTCTTGTTCGCTGGTTTTTTGTCTGTGTGTGTTTCTTTCTGTCCTTGTCATTGAACAAAAATAAAGTTGACCTTATTTTTTTCCTCTGACTTTGCAAAAGTGGAGGGGGAACAATTGTTCACCTTAACCGCAAAGACCTCCCTCAGTCATTTACAACAAAAGCCGTCAATCGTGTATGCAAAAATGTCTGGTGGTGCCATATATTAACTTCAGAAATGGTTCTGCCTAAGAATGTTGTTGATCAGGCTGTATTTGCTGTGACAGTTTGCACTATTCTACTATGCATGCTCCTCTGTGAATGATGGAGATGAATCCAAAATGTTATGGTTGCAGAAGCAGCAGGTTATTCTTGCTTGTATCTGGGGACTGACAAGTTTCAAAGTTTGACCCAACATTTCAGGTCTTAATGCTCCATACTTAATCAATTACTCCTCTTCCAGCAGTACTCAATAAATCAAAGCATTTGGAGGTAGAATACTAGAAGTCTGTCAGGAGAACCCAGGTACAAACCCCTGCTCTGCTATGAAGCTTATGTTGTGAGAATAAAATGGGGGGAACCATGCACCCCACCCTAATCTCCTTCTCTCCTTCTCTACCTGGCCTTCTGCCTCATGAATGCTGAAGCAAGATGATACCTGGCTTGTTATGGATGAATTTTAATTTACTTCCGATTGCATCATGTTTCTTTTATCACATCATTTTCTTTTATTTTTATAAGTGCAAATTTAATGACATAACTGTTATGTTGTTGATGCTTGCCTAGACATTGTCAGTCATCTCTGTTGAACAGAGATGTCAAAAATCTGTTTAACTGAAGTTCATGCTCTAAACAACTTCCATGAAAGAAAGATCATTTTAAACCTGTTCTCCATTTTTCCCATTCCACCCATCAGCATGTTCTGGCACTTACAAACATCAAACTTGTGATTCAGAGTCAATATGAAAACAAGATAGTTGTAAAGACTACCAACCAAAGTTTTTTTGTATAATTTTATTAAAGATTTATTATTTTACAAAAGAAGATAAAAGCTAATACAAACTAATATAAAGTGAGAAAAAGAAAAGGATAAGAAAGAAATCAAAGAGAAAGCTAAAAGTGCAAGAAAAGGGGGGGGGAGTAAAAGAAAATAGAAAAGAAAGAAAAAGATATAAAGCAGTAGCTTCCGATCTTCTTCACTGCAGTTAGAAGTAAAATAATAAATTTACCTCTTACTCTATGGTTACAACATAACTGTCTTCTTTCTATAATCATCTTGTCTAATCATCAAAACCATAAATCATACGTTCATTTTTTTTCTGTTTCACGCAAAAAGTCCATAAGGGGTTTCCAGTCAGCAATTACCATAGATATTGTCTTTTCTCTGATCAAAGAAGTCAATTTAGCCATCTCAGCAAGTTCCATCATCTTCATCAATCATTCCTCCATTGGGGGTAATGCTGAATTTTTCCATCTTTGTGCAGACAATAACCTTGCTGCAGCTATCATGTACAAAAACAAAGTTCCATGACTTTTTTCCAGCTGTTTGTCCATCAATCCCAAAAGAAAAACCCCTGGTCTCAGTTGTATATTAATCTTTAAAACCCTCTGAACCAGTGTATGTATTTGAATCCAAAATTTTCTAGCTTTTTTACATGTCCACCAAACAAGATAAAATGTCCCTTCTTGTTGTTCACATTTCCAACATAAATCTGAAGTGCCTTTATACATTCTAGACAATTTCTCTGGTGACATATACCAATGGTACATTGTTTAATAAAAGTTCCCTTTAAGATTATAACATAGTGTAAATTTCAGTCCTTTCAGCCACATATTTTCCCATTGTTCCATCTGTATATTATAACCAAAATTGTTAGCCCACTGTATCATACATTTCAATAAAAGTTTATACATTTTAGCAATTACATGTTCATTCTGTGTCAAAGTCAGTCTTGCAATGTTCAAAACCATAAATTCTTTTGTTTACTTTAAATCTTTCTAATAACTGTAAATAAGACAACTATATCCCTCTGCCACCAGTTCTTCTCTTGATTTTATCTTACATTCCCCTTGACAAAATTCTAGTATCTCAGATAAGTTAGCCATTTGTGTTTGCCTACTATTTCACTCCTATAAGATCCCTCTTGTGCTGAGATCCACAAAGGTGTTTTCGGGCACAACCTGGGTTTGTATCTATTCCATATTCTCAGTGTGGCACGTCTAAAGCCACATTAACCGTGACTTTATTGAACCACCCAATTCTCAGGTCGGGTCCTGTCATCCCAGGTCACGTCCTCCAAAAGCCTTCTATTTCTCAGCAACACCCATTCTTTCATCCAAACCAAACAGCAAGCCACAAAACACAATTTCAAATCAGGTAAACTCAGTCCTACTCTTTCCTTTGCATCTTGTAAACCTTGTCTTATATCTCTAGTCAGTATTTCAAGGACCAAAATAAACAAGAGAGGAGACAGTGGGCATCCCTGTCTTGTTCCTTTTTGTATCTCACACGGTTTTGTTAGATCTCCATTAACAATTATTTGTGCTTTCTGCGAAGTGTAAATCGATCTTACCCACTTTATAAAGTTCTCTGCAAAATTCATATCTTCCAAAACCTTGAACAAGAAAGCCCAGTTCAAATTGCCAAAAGCCTTCTCTGCATCCAAGAAAATCAATGTGGTTTTTTTTCATTATGTTGCTCCAAATATTC